CTCTTTCCTGGAGTACAGTTTGATGACTGACGTCCAAGAAGCCATCTTGAGGCATCTAGGAAGCTATGTGTTGGGATGATGGAATAACTTCTGTTAAGATTGGGGCCTAGCCATCGTGGAGTAGGCATACCAACTCTGGACTACTGGCTGACCTTCGGAACGCATCTACATAATCAGGAAAATCTATCTTAAGTTATTGGGGATATTTTTTGGACATTACCTAATTGAGATGTGCTGTAAGTATAAAATACACACTGGATTTTAAAAGAAAAAACTGTAAAACATTATGAAGTGTATCATTAATAATTTTATGTTGATTATATATTAAAATGATAATGTTTTGGATTTATGGGCATAAAAATCATATTATTGAAATTATTCAATCATTCTCCTGGTCCTTTTTCTTTTTCCTTTTTTTTGAACATGGCTACCAGAAATCTTACAGTGATGCACATGGCTCACATTATCATTTTCCTGGGCAGTGATAGGCTTGTGCTGCTTGGCTGTGTCTGCATGAAAGAAGAGAAGAAGTACTGAGGCAAGAAGGAGCCACACCACTCAGCCAGGTTCCCACACAGGTAAATGGTGGGGCTGGAGGCAAGCTCAGCCCCACTTGATGCATTGCTTTCACCCACTGAGCAAAGCCTGTCTCACCCAGGGTCTTTGGGTTCAGGCCTGGAAAAGAAAACACCAACCCAAGCATTAACTCTTAGCTCTTTACTTGAATAGTTCTCCTGACTTTTCCTGAAAATGTTTATAATTGAATGGGTTTTATAGCATTATGATCAAGTCAGTTACTTCCAAGCATGTAAAAATAGAATGTAATCTATTGAAAAAAATACAAAACACAATTTATTGAACTCTGCTGCCTTTGATGCAGAAAGAAGGCATTTAACTTGAGATGTTCTGCTGCAGATAAATTTTACAAATGTCAGAGCCAGAAGCCCTTGTGTAAAGTTTTATCAAAGCCCTTGATAAAACTTGTGTTAGTTGCTTTACCTCCCTTTTCTGGAAGGTTAAGGTCTTTAACCCTTGTGACCAAAGGTGCCGTGCCCCACAGGGTGGTGCTTGAGTGACAGCCCAGGATATCTTGATAATCTGTCCCTTTACTGGTTGCTGGTAGATCTGGCTATCTGGGCCAAGGCATCCCTGACAGGTACTAAGTACAGTCAGTATTATTCACACCTTCATTCACTGACTTGACCCCTCACCTTTGCTGTGATAAAGATGTAGACCAGCCCATATTCTGTGAAGAGGGGTGTGTTTTCTATTTGCAGATGGCTTAGCTTCCCAGCTTTCCTAATTTCTTCTTTAAGACAACCATAGATAGGAATACCCTGATCAGCTTACTTCCCTATTTTGGGGCAGCCAGAGACTTTTCTGGATTCTCTTGCAGGGTCCTCCATTGTTGACACAAATCTGGGCTACACACAATGGTCCCCTGAGGTTCCCCACTGCCAAGTGATTATAAGACATGTGCAGTCACAGCCACCAAATGACCTTGGATGTGATCATTTTCATCTCTCTCTTTCTATATAATACTGCCACAACTGGCCAGAAATTATACACAGACTATTTAATTGCCTATGGAGCTACAGCATGAAACTAACAAGCTATTCATTAATGTACCCAATGCACTCCCTCTGCTTCCTGTGGCTTCTGTTGCTGGTTTAGAAGCAGAATTAACAAGTTTTCTCCTAAGAGGCATATCTGTCCTGCAGCACTCAGCTCTTTGAAGATTTTAACTTCATCCTCCAAATCATTACAGAAAACATTTAATGTCTGTGGGCCAGACCTTACCCCTGTAGATCCCATTTGCAAGGATTGTCCAAGGCAGGTGATTCACCATCAATAAGTACCTTTTGCACTTGGTTTTGAAATATGGACATGGTTTTGGGCAACTGTGGGTCATTAAACTTTGGTAAGTTACATTCCCCAAAGACATATTCCACTAATACAATCAAAGGACAATTTGTGCCCCTGACAGCATATGCCAATCTCAGAGGGATAAAAATCTATATTCATGTAGGATATTTACTGAGAGCAGATGAAGACACTGACAACCACTGGCCTCTTTTTCTTCATATTCATCATCATGTCCACTAAGGATCAAAAGCAATGTTCAAATCTAATGCAATATGCCATCTTGTTTTTCAACTAAATCTATTTGCAATCTCTGGTTCCTGAATTAACTCACTGTAAGGAGACTCGTGTGTGTGTGCGTGTGTGTGTGTGTGTGTGTGCTTTGTATTGGTCCGGGGATGAGCAATATCTAAAATTCAAATGCCTTTAGACTCCAGGTATTTAATGTAAATGTGTGAAGTTGCTGGTTGTAACCATCAAGGAGTAGAAGATACTAATGAATAGGAACTTTCACGCACATTAGAATTTTCCTTACTACACACACTGCATTGCCCAATGGAAAATATGTCAGTTTAGATTCCACTGAACAGTGGCCAGTTTGTGATCTTGCCTTTAAATTAAATCTCACTTTTAGGATCTGAATCTAGGGTTCAAATGTGGCACAAGGAGAGAAAGTGGAGTGGCAGGTACTTTCTTACATCTCTTCTGACATCCTGTCTGGGTTGAGACCAATCAAATTCAACATTAGTCAATTCTCATAGGAACCTTTGCTATAAAATATGTTGTCATCTTGGGCTCCTCTTCCACTCACATTCATGAAGGGCTTTCCCACATGCTGTGGGTATTTGCTAGCCACTGCAGACCAAGACAGAAATCCAGTGTGATAGAATCCATTGTGTTGATAGAAATCCAGTGTGATCTAAAAAGGAATCAGACTGGTTTTTACAGCTGTTTGGAGACAAAGCCTGGCTATCTGCTCAGCATCAAGCCTCTCTCTCTGGCTTGGCTTGTTTGTTTGGATCATGCTTCTCTTTCCCTGGATTAAAGGGTGAAAGCACCTTCTGTCATTGCTAGGGCACTCAGGCCTGCCTACCATAGGTCTTTATTGTGAGAAAGGCAAACAATCCTTAATTTGCTGGTGATGTTGGAAAGATGTCCTCCAAAGCTGGGGAATGACTTTATGCCTTTTGGTTTGCTCTTGAATAATTATCCTTTCTCCTTCCCCTGCACAAAAATTTAAGGAAAAGTCAGGTCGGAAATGTAGTTGAGCTAACAGAACCCAAGCTCAATCTGGAGAAAAATACAGCTGAAGACACAGTTTCAAAGTCATTTACTGTGAATTAGTGGCCTATTGACAGTAGTAAGTACAAGTTAACCCTAAATATCCCTTCTCCCGATTTACTGTATTAAAAGAAAAAAGTGGGACCAGTTAAATTTAACAAAATTTACTTGAGCAAGAAAAAGATTCTGGGACCAAGCAGTCCTGTAGTCCAAATACAGTTTAGAATCCCCCCTCTTACAATGTAGTGAGCTTGTTTTGTAATCACAAAGACAGGAAATGACATACAGAGATGTTTATCAATTAGTGCAGCTTAGTGTTGCCTTATTAGGGCATAATTTGGCAACCTTCCACTTGGAGTTGGCTGAAGGGTCAGCCACTGTGATTGGCTAAGACTCAGTTGCTTCGTTTCAAGGGTATACTCTTGGGTTAGAGTGCACACGCTTGAGCAACACAGTAGGTTGTAGTTTATCATATACCACAGACCACTTGGAGCCAAATTTTATCACCCACACACAAAGGCAAGTTTAGGCCAAATGTGTTTCAGTTTAACAAAAGAATAATGAGACTTTGAAGGTTTATTCCTTCTCTCTTTTCTTTTCCTTGGTGGTTGAAATTCATATGGTGATGGCAATTGCAGAAGAAGCCTTTTAGGCTGTGAGATGATTCTGGGAATGGATATCATGGATCATGGAGTGCTGAGAGGAACCTATGCCCCTAACATCAAGAAGAGCCATATTATCCTGCTCCTCCTATCTGGACATTGACATAAGACATAACAAGGCATCTATCGTATTTATATTGCCTGGCTGGGGCAAGGGAGGCAGTTTCTATCACTCGTAGCCAAACATCCCAAAGTAATAAAAAATATCAAGTGGATCCACAGAAGTAGGCTCGGACCTTCCTCATACTCTCTGAGGTAGTGAGAGGTGAAACATCATCACTGATGTACTGTGGGCAATTCCTTTATAAAGGTTTTAACCAAGTTCATCATTTCACTTTTATTTTCCACACCCTCCCACCCCGCCCCAGGTCTCCAGCAGCTGCAGCTCTCAGCTCTTACCTCCATCCTTCCTCACAGCACTTACCTGTGCTCTGCCTTTGTTCCGTGTTTGCTGCCTTAGTTAGACAGTGGGAATTAGGGAACAGAAAATGTCTTTTTTTCCATTTATGGTGCAAAACAAAGCATTACTTCCGTTCCAGGCACTCCATGAGCCCCCTAATTGAAATAATTTGAAAGCTTTTTTGACCGTCACTTACTATACTATTTCCTGTGTTCTTTCACTCTTCAGATTTTCTATTTTTTAGAGAAATTCTCTCTACCAGGGACAGAATTATGACACTCTAACATAGAGGGAAAACTCAGGGAGTTTTATCAACTCTTTTCAAGGTCTTATTTGTGGGAATATGAGCTTTTGCTTAGAGGGAAGTTGCATCGCTTTCATCAGAATTAAGAAAAATTCATAGCCTTAACAGGCAAATAGAAAAATCTTCATTCAAAATTATACCTGAAATTGTTGGGTAGGTGTTAGAAAAAGATTAGAAAAGAGATTATGTGGATGATTCAGTTTGCAAAGAAGATAAATTCACATATAGATCTATATAATTACATATCTAAAGATTTTTTAAAGTCTCCATTTTTCCATGGTTTTGATATCTTAATCCTTTGTTTCTGAGAAAGTGACCCAGAGGAAAACAATAAAAATACACTGGGAATAAACTGAAGCAATGCTTTATTGTGACCACAAAGCACCAATTCGACAAAGTATCAACATACAGATATTGAACAAATGTCTCTTTGAACAGAGATGTAGCAAGCCCACTTTTTCAAGTTCTTAAAACAAATACTTAAGCCGGGAATCAAACAAAGCATAGGATAATTTAAAAAACATCACAGCATCAAGAAGGAATATATATAAAAATATTCTGTACCAGTAACAGGCTTTATGATCTATAACTCTTGGCAATGTTTTCAAAAACAAATTATTATAAATACAAACCATAAAGTATAAAAATGTTTTCTTCAGAAACAAAGAACCAAATGTAAGCAAATCTATGCAGAAACACCATTACCCCTATGACAGGTGAATATGGATGGATATCCCCAACACAGCACAGTTTCTCTTTTCAGAGCTACAGTTCTGCTCTTGAAGGGGCCATGATGCATATTCATTTCAAACATCCCAGTATGTCCCAGTGAAACCTTAATAAGGTCAAATGGAGTGCCCTCTATAAAAAAAGGGTGTTGGCAATTCCATCCAAGTAACGCAAACTCTACAGAGCAGAGGAATTCAACAAAGACAGCAATCCCTTTCTCTTTTCTGCCCCTCTCCAAGGTTCCTTATTTTTACTCTGTCTGTAAGCCAAAGATGCTCATTTCTTTGAGTTTTCTTTTTAAAGATGTTTGAGAAAGCAGTCTATGAAGAAAATCCTATGATCTCAAGCTTTTGTGGAGAGGGAATCTAGTAATGGCAAAGATCATTCTAGTTGGCAAATTCCATAAGCAAAATCATTTTGTGCTTATCTGGTCCTTGCTCCTCCTAGCTGAATTCAAGTCAGCTGATGGATTGCCTAGTCTATCCAATAGGATAACTTTTCATTTGGTTGAAATTTTTTACATATACATATGTATGTATGTATGTATTGATTTACAAAGTTTCATCACATGAAACTAAATTATGTCATGTACTTTTTGAGGTCTAAGACCCCAATTTGATGGCATTATGAAGAGTTGTTCTTTAAATGCTTTGTCTGGAGAGGTTTTACATGATATTCATAGATTTTCAGAGCAGGCCCCAATTTTAACTGAAGTCCTGTTAACACATCATTCCTTGTCATCAACAGCAGGGATTTCCCATCAATTTCCTATAATGGAAGCAGAAAGTAAAGCCAACATGTAAGTCCAAAAAACTCAAGGATAACAAAGGAAAAAAGAAGTTCAAAGGCAACAGTCATACCAGTTGTCCCGAAGCTCAAAATTACTTTTATAGTAGTGCTAAAATGAAGAAAATATGAAATCTTTTATTTTTATCTTCTTTTACTTGTATGAGGTATGGTTGAAAAATATAGTGGATGTTTAGCTTACAAAAATTATTACAGTAAAAGACACATTACTGTTGATCTCTTGCGAAATACTCCCCCTTACTTTGAACACACTTACTGCATAACTTTTGTCACTTGCTGCAGCAGTTCCAGAAGTCCTCTTTCACAAATATCTTTAGTTGCACTGATATGGCTGCCTTGATGTCTTGAGTCAATTAAACATGCTTACCTTTCATGACCAGTTTTACTTTGGGGAAGAGCCAGGAGCCACGCAGTTCCAGATTTAGTGAATAAGGAAGGCGGATGAGTGCACACTGGAATGTTTTTATGAGCACGTCTTTGTGTTGAATGGCACCAGGGAGCAGTGTGCATTGTATTCTTGATTATACCCGTGAGGACACTCACAAACGAGGACTTAGGAAATGGCTGGAATGGTGGAATAAGTGTGCTTGAAGCAAGAGCAATATTCTGAGGGTGATTAATAGGAATGCATCTTTTACTGTAATTATTTTAAACATTTTTTAAACATTTACCATATATTTTGATCATCCCTTTTATGTAGACAGTAAACACAATCCATAGTTGATCTTGTTTTCAAGATCACATCACGAATGTCATTTTTTTTTTTTTTTTTTTTTTTTGTT